GTAACCACTACTCTGCTGCGGCACCTGCCTTAGTTTCTCAGTTGAAAAGATAAACATGTTGTGTTTACTGCTGTGTGGCAAACTAGTATTTACCAGTTTTTACCAGGTAATTTAATTTCATGCAATTACCAGTAATACAATAAAAACACGGCTTCGACAATGCTACCAGCTCTCACCAAGACCCCAGCAATGCACCCCCCCCCATCCCCACCACCCCCACTCACCATTCTGGATCTGGGCCACCTTCTTGGAGATTTCGCTGATGATCTGGGCAGACGGGGAAAGAGGGCAGGAGGGTCACCGGCTGGTCGCGCAACAGACGTCAACGGCCGTGCTCGGGGCACGGCGCTCAATCTTGCAGCTCGATAACGACGCCCTTCACCCAGGAAAATCTCCCTTGAGATTCAAGGCTTGTTCTGTAGAGGGTCCTGCTACATCAGGATGAGTGGCCAATTCCATCCAAGTTTGCCTCCCGTTTGGGAGGAAATCGAATAACCTCGGAGAAGCTCACCACGCATGTGAAGGACAGAGACCGAAAGCTGCAAAGCCAAGACCGCGCTCCTGTGCTGCCACCTACTGGACTGGCCATCTAACAGCCCAGCAAGTTTGGGTGCCTCGCAAATCTTGACGTGATCTACCAACCCTCACCTCCAAAGTGCTGAATCACGAACGTGGCACGGCTTCTCACCCCCCCCCCCCCCCAGCATCGAGAGCTGTTCCCCCAGCGATCTGTGTGCTGTCGACTCCCTGCCTATGGCCGCTTCTGTGCAGCACCTCGAGATGCATTCCCATTTAGGTGCAGTAGTCGCGCAGCCCTGCGTCAATCCACTGCTGGACGAGGTCCTCCCCAAACCGCGCTTGCCGTGGAGGTCGTTTTGACCATACTTCGTTATACTGGTCGAAATGGGCTGGAGCACAGTCGTGGCAGCTATGACGCTGAATACACCCACTGTGCAAACCGTGACCCCGCGCTCAGCTTCCCATGACCTCACCTGCCGTCGCCATTTCTCAGACTTCTGCAGATCCTCGCACTCTGACGCCAAGTACGGCCTCCGCTCCTGCCAATGGCACACGCACGCACACACGCACGCACGCACACACGCACATGCACGCACGCACGCACACACGCACGCACACACGCACATGCACGCACGCACGCACGCACGCACACACACACACGCACGCACACACGCACACATGCACGCACACACACACGGACGCACGTAGGCCCATGGGTCCTGGGATCCGAAGTCTCTTCATATCAAGTTCAGTTTCATCCTATTTGTCATGTTGATCCCAGTACACCTTAAGCAACGGTCTTGGACGGACGTGCTTTGTAGCCGGTTGGAGACCATTGTAAAAAGGTAGTGTTTTGAGAATTTTAATAAAAGGTTTTGTTCAGTTAAGTTGTAACAAGTTTAAATAAGGGAGTGTCTCGCCACTGCCCAATTGTTTTGTCACAACAGATGCCAACACGGCCGGTGGCATGCTTGGAATGGGCCCTGCTGCGAGTAATGAATGGAAGCCCCCTCTACAATTTCTCTCTTTGTGACCTGATATAATTAGGCGATAACAGCTGCGCTTGTGAGGAGGATGGGAAAGGACCGATTGCCGAGATGGGCGTTGGGAGTGGTCTCCACAAATGCAGCGACCGAGGGGTAGAGTGATGGTGCAAGGAGACCGTCAGGATAGATCTATGGGGGTCTCTGTGCGAGTCTGTGGGTCTCTGTGTGAGTCTGTGGGTCTCTGTGCGAGTCTAATGCCAGATGGCGCAGGGAGACCGTCAGGGCGGATCCTAGAGGGCACTGTGCATCTACTGTGCAGCAGCTGCAGAATCTGGCGGGGGGCAGAAGCGTTGGAAGAGATGAGGGGCGATGGCATCAATGCCTTTTTTCGTGGACCGGTGTTTGGGCTCCGATGCAGTTGCTCCACCTGCATACAGGTGGTTTCAGGTGAAAGTGTACGGCTCCTTCGTGAAAAGGAGCCACACGGCCTTGTTAAACAAAAAAATCCCCGCAAAATGGATCGGCTCGATTCCCAACGGCTGTGGGAATGTGCTCGCCTACCTTCACCTTCCCTTCCTCCAGCTGCGCCTGGCGGAAGCGCGCCAGCGCCGTCCTGCAGGCGACGTGGCAGGGGGGGGGGGAGCAGTGTGAGAAGCGACCACAATACAACTACCGTACAACACAAATGTGGATTTTAAATAGCATCTAAATACGACCACACCTCAGACGAGGTGCGGAAACGGGGCTGGACAGAAAGCCTCGGTTTCTGTAGCGCAGAGTGTGTGGAGGGGTAGTGGAGTGAGATGAGAGGTCGGAGTGCGTGTGGAGGAGTAGCGGAGTGAGATGAGAGGTAGGAGTGCGTGTGGAGAGGGAGTGGAGTGAGATGAGAGGTAGGAGTGTGTGTGGAGGGGTAGTGGAGTGAGATGAGAGGTAGGAGTGTGTGTGGAGGGGGAGTGGAGTGAGATGAGAGGTAGGAGTGTGTGTGGAGGGGGAGTGGAGTGAGATGAGAGGTAGGAGTGTGTGTGGAGGGGGAGTGGAGTGAGATGAGAGGTAGGAGTGTGTGTGGAGGGGGAGTGGAGTGAGATGAGAGGTAGGAGTGTGTGTGGAGGGGGAGTGGAGTGAGATGAGAGGTAGGAGTGCGTGTGGAGGGGTAGTGGAGTGAGATGAGAGGTAGGAGTGTGTGTGGAGGGGGAGTGGAGTGAGATGAGAGGTAGGAGTGTGTGTGGAGGGGGAGTGGAGTGAGATGAGAGGTAGGAGTGCGTGTGGAGGGGGAGTGGAGTGAGATGAGAGGTAGGAGTGCGTGTGGAGGGGTAGTGGAGTGAGATGAGAGGTCGGAGTGCGTGTGGAGGAGTAGCGGAGTGAGATGAGAGGTAGGAGTGCGTGTGGAGAGGGAGTGGAGTGAGATGAGAGGTAGGAGTGTGTGTGGAGGGGTAGTGGAGTGAGATGAGAGGTAGGAGTGTGTGTGGAGGGGGAGTGGAGTGAGATGAAGGTAGGAGTGTGTGTGGAGGGGGAGTGGAGTGAGATGAGAGGTAGGAGTGTGTGTGGAGGGGGAGTGGAGTGAGATGAGAGGTAGGAGTGTGTGTGGAGGGGGAGTGGAGTGAGATGAGAGGTAGGAGTGTGTGTGGAGGGGGAGTGGAGTGAGATGAGAGGTAGGAGTGTGTGTGGAGGGGGAGTGGAGTGAGATGAGAGGTAGGAGTGTGTGTGGAGGGGTAGTGGAGTGAGATGAGAGGTAGGAGTGTGTGTGGAGGGGGAGTGGAGTGAGATGAGAGGTAGGAGTGTGTGTGGAGGGGTAGTGGAGTGAGATGAGAGGTAGGAGTGCGTGTGGAGGGGTAGTGGAGTGAGATGAGAGGTAGGAGTGTGTGTGGAGGGGTAGTGGAGTGAGATGAGAGGTAGGAGTGCGTGTGGAGGGGGAGTGGAGTGAGATGAGAGGTAGGAGTGCGTGTGGAGGGGTAGTGGAGTGGGATGAGAGGTAGGAGTGTGTGTGGAGGGGGAGTGGAGTGAGATGAGAGGTAGGAGTGTGTGTGGAGTGAGATGAGAGGTAGGAGTGCGTGTGGAGGGGGAGTGGAGTGAGATGAGAGGTAGGAGTGTGTGTGGAGGGGTAGTGGAGTGAGATGAGAGGTAGGAGTGTGTGTGGAGGGGGAGTGGAGTGAGATGAGAGGTAGGAGTGTGTGTGGAGGGGGAGTGGAGTGAGATGAGAGGTAGGAGTGTGTGTGGAGGGGGAGTGGAGTGAGATGAGAGGTAGGAGTGCGTGTGGAGGGGGGGTGGAGTGATATGAGGATCTTGAAGACAGTGATCGCGATGTTGAAGTTGATCTCAAATGAGAGTGGGAGCCGGTGGAGGGAGCGATCGGAGTGTTGGGATGACGTGCTATCGTTCACGGCGATGAGTCTGGCGGTAACGTATGGCTCAAGTGGAGATAGAAGCGGCAATTAAATTACAGAGTGGCACAAACGGAGGCTGTAGGTGCAGAGCAGGGAGGGGTTGGGACTCACATCGCTTTCTCCGCATTGCGAGCCTGCACGAGGAAGAGGGGACGGGGGCACAGGGAGAGTGTCAGGGGAACAGCCGAAGCACGGCCACGGAATTGTGACCACAAGCGACACGAAGACCCACAACATCTACTCACTCATCCCAACAGTTGCCCCATGAGACCGTCTTATGGGGCAACTGTTGGCGAGCAGAATTGAGTGTGGCCAGCACCAAGCCGAGGCCCCTTTTGTCTCCCTCGTGCTGAAATACCGCACCAGTTACTCATTTAAGGCCGAGTCGACCTACAGGAGGCACAGGAACGGTTTCGATATTCGTTATCGATGATGGGTTGTGAGCGCGACTCGAACTCGTTCGTGAATCCGTGCGTTAACCACAACGACAGAACTGCTCCCCACACGCCAACATCTACAGTAACATCTGGGGATACGGAGGGGGGTAAAGGGAGACACGGCGAGTCCTGAGACCAGGGGATGGGGGGCCGCATGGACAGTGAGCCACGGGACCAGGGGGGGCTGGAGGGACAAGCACACTGGGACCTGGGATCACGGGGACACAGGGGAGACAGCGGGGGATCGAGGGAAAGAAACATGGAGACACAGGGCGGCACACAGAGACGCAAGCGGGGACTACACGGGGGTCCCTTGGGGCCACGTGGGGGTCCCCGACCCCCCACTGTCACCATGGTTGCAGCGAGCGATCTTCGATCTCAGCGACCACAGGCCGCGCTTCCGGTACGTGGCTACCACAATCCCTCGCGGCGCCGGAAATGCTGCCCCCCCCCCCGACTCCCCTCGCCTGCAAAGGGTCAATGGCTTAAAGGCGGCGCCTAAACAGGAGCGCCGCGTTCATTGGCTCCTGACCGCTGATGGGCGGGGCATGGCTTGAGTGGGCGGGAGGTTGAGCTTGTGGGCGGGGCTTAAATCGTGGGCGGAGCTTAAGTCGTGGGCGGAGCTTAAGTCGTGGGCGGAGCTTAAATCGTGGGCGGGGCTTAAATCGTGGGCGGGGCTTAAATCGTGGGCGGAGCTTAAGTCGTGGGCGGGGCTTAGATCATGGGCGGGGTTTTAAGTTGAGGGGGCGAGGCCGTCCGCTGGGCGGTGCCTGACGTCACGCCATGGCGGGTCCCGGGTGAGTGATCGCCTCTCGAGTTTGATGGAAGTTGTTGTCGTCGTCGTCGTTGTTGTTAAAGTTCCCCCCTCCCTGTCCCCGTGAGCTCGCGTGCGCGGCGCGCGATCGGCCACGTTCGGTCTCCGAGCCTCGCGGTGGCCGCCGAGCCCGGGATTTCCTGCGGGGGTTTCGTGCGGGGCGGAGAGGTGTTGCGGGTAGGCCGCGAGGGGGGCCCCGCGTTTTCCTGGACTCCCTGCGGGGTCGAGGCGCACGGCTGCAGGCAGAGAGGCAGAGAGGCAGATGCAGGGCACCCCCTCTCACGGGGAATACTCCGTGACTTCGATCTCCTTCCCGGAATTGTTGGCTACTGCTGCTGTAGATGTCCACGTGATAATCCACTCTGTTGAGCTGTCATTTGTAGCCAGGCCCGTGTGCTGTACTCGTAACGAATGGGCATGTTTTGTGTTACGTGACAAACCTTATTAATCGGCTGTCGGGTGGTGGCGGGTTTAACGCCACATTTACGCGATGTAACCCAGACAACGTCTTTTATGAACATAGAAAGTAGTTTATAACCACTCCTCCTCCCTGACCCGGCTCTTCCTCCTGAGCCCCACTCTCAACTCACCCGCTCTCCCGTATAACATTTACATAACGCCTTATTCCAAGATGCTTTCCAGCAATTAAAACATTGTACATACGATGATAGTGGTTGAGATAAAGAGTGGGGTTATTAAAAGTGGTGGTGTCGAAAGTGCCAAATTATTACTATTTCAGCGCAACATTTATAATTGTTATTTACGAAAAACATTTACAATTGTAATTTACAATTGGAAATGTTGTGTAGTGGTGCTCTCTATTACACCGGTGTGCTCAAGTAGTCGTACATTGCACGTTCTGTTCACGTGACAAACTTCACACATTTACTTTTTCGGGTGGAGGTTGGTATACGACATTTATCATGAAAAAGATCGATTTCGTACATTTGGTATTTGCACCATTGTTATACTGCAATGCTGTTACGAAGGAGTGATGTTTCACAACCCCTAGTAGTTTCATCGTTGGGCACGATATGGCGATGTGAAATTGTAGCTTCGTATTTTCGATGTCCTGCTCGTTTTGAATTACTTAACGGGAAGTTTTAACATCCACTGCCAAGCAGACGGGGCACGTATCTGTGGGTTCATCTACCGGCAAACTCGCTACCACTGGGCCGTGTCATCGTCGCCCCTGCTGCTGTTGGGCACTTAGTGAGAACTTGCTATTGAAGCCAGCGATAGCGATGCCCCTTCACGCATTGCGAGCAGGTTAAAGTGGTCAGTGGACCCTATTAAAACTCGGAATTGTATAGCGGTGGCAAAACGCAACTGCATCTCAAGAGGATGTACAGAAACAGTGGGCTCCTTTAGCACATAGAGGCAGTCGTATGTGGTAGAAGCAGGGCAATGTTTGAGCCTGGGCTTGAATGGGGGCTGGGAGTCGACAGCACGGACGACTGAGGAAATAAGTTGTAGACTTTTGGTGTAGCAGAGTAGAATGAGCGACCTTCGACTGAGTGAAAGTTGGCTGGGTGCTCCGATCGAAAGCCTTGGATTTGGATAGTTCGTGGAGGGGAGTAGAGCGAGATGGGAAGGGAGAGGCATACAGGGCGAGGCCATGGAAGATCTTGAAGATTGGATCGGGAGCCGGTGGAGAGATTGTGGGATTGGGGAGATGTGATCACGTTTACTGTGCAGCTAAAATGTCTGCAGTGACGATGTGGGGCAGTGAGGGGTGTGGGGAGGCTGTAGAGGAGAGAGTTGCTGTCACCTGGTAATTGACTGGTATCGGTATTGAGCAGCATAATCATTTGAAAGCAGCCAGGATTCTTTACAAGGATTTAAGGAGCTGGGCCCCCCTCTCTCGCTATACCATAACCCTCAATGCTTCTTATCACCCTAGTCCTGACACTCACCTTAACCCCACCTTCAATCTTAATCTTAACTATCAGCTTAACCCTCTTGCTAGCCCTGCTCATAACATTAACCAAAACGCTGGCCCTTACCCGAACATTACCCATAGGCCTGTTCTACCCATGGCCCTAACCTTATCCTGGCCATGAAACTGACACTAACCCTGGCACCTGACTCGCACCTTATCTGTGGAGCGTTTCGTCTTAACCAGGCAGCATCACACATGCTCTGCTGGCTCCTGTCGGGATGAGGGGGGGGTCTCGTGAGAGAAACTGTGCCACACTCGTTGCCTTATTAGCCGTGTGGAAGGGACGTCCCACCACTTACACCCCACCCCGAGAGGGGCGGTGGTCGGGTAAATTTGGATCCTACGCCGGGCGAGATTATAAATATCCTCGGGTACCGGTGTCTGTGTGTTGTGGTGTCCGACCATCCCAATGTCTGAGAACTTGCTGTCGGTGCCACTACACATGGCCTTTCCCGGCGTGTACCATCACTTCTCAATGTTTAGACATTTTTAAGCAGATCTCCATTTTGTCTTTCCACATGTACATTACATATTGTTTAATAACTTCAGCATACTGTATTGGCTTTCCAGACATTGATTGTCAAGCAGAATTTGTTTAATTAAACAAGCAAACTCTGCACTGGTTTGAACTTTCTGGGTATCATCAGCAGAGTCAGGCGTGTTAAACAAAAGCTTTTGGAATCCCAAATGTTTTTGGGGAACCGGTCTACCGGTTAGCGAAGCCGACCAAAACCAGAGTTCTTGGTTTAGACGACAGTCGACCCCGGTGGCGCTTGGGTTCAAATTCCACGCCACAGACGGACGGGCTAAAGGACAGACGGATGGAGGAGCTGACGATTGTGGTGGCCGGGAGGGGCCTGTGTGTGGTGCCTGCCCACCCTCGGGGCCGGCTCTGGTTTCATCAGATAAAACGAGCCACTCCGGGTTTTCCCCACCGCAAGCGTGAGTCGCGCGGGCAAAGGTGCGGCCTCATAAAGGCGCCGCTTGCCGCAGCTCGGTGTAGGGGGTGAGAGAGGTGGGCAGTGGTGGCTCGTGGTGGACAGCCATGGCTACCGGTGGGGAGTAGTGGTGAGCATTGGGGAGAGGTGTGGCGGTGGCGGGGCTGTGGTTGTAACGATTGTCATCGTTGTCGTCGTGATGATGGTGGCCGTGCGGGTCGCGGGCGGATTAGCTCGATCGCCGGTGCTGTAAAATCTGTTGTCGGACACCTTGTGTCACGTGACTGACGGAGGAAGACGGAGGGTGGGAGGGTAGGATTGGGCGAGTGATAATTACAAATGAGTGAGTGGCTTAGTGGAACAGTGTAGAAGTGAGTGAGAGCTTGTGAGAGTGAATTCGTGACTGAGTGAATGTGTAGTGGATTGGGTGAGTAAATGAGTAAGCAAATTAATTAATGAAAAAAACATTGAGTGAAATTGCCGAAGGTAGAAAACAAGTCGTGGATGGAGTGAGCGAGTCAGCGTGTGAGTGAATGTGTGATTGGGCGCGTTTGCGGTGGTTGAACGAGAGAGCAACCAGTGAGTCAGTGTTCAAGACATTGAGTGAGTAAATGAGTGGGTAATTCCGTTTAGTGAGTAATTGTGTGACTGAGTAAATTATTGAGTGGGTATCTTGAGTGTATGGGTGAGTGTGTGTGTAATTAAGTGGGTGAGTGTATAAGTATAGCTAGTGTAGTGGTTAGCGCGCTGAGGTACGAACTCGGCGATTCCCACTCACGGCCAAAATCAGTCGCGATTATCTGAACGGATCCTGGACCTCCCCTAGGTCGACTCAGCCTCAAACGAGTGCATGGTGCAGTGTGTAAAACATTGCCACTGGGAAGACAAAGGCGGCCGGGCGTGGTGCTGGCCACCCACCCCCTCGTGTGCCATGCTGGCCTTCATAGATACTCGCTAACAGCACTTTCCCCAACAGTCTGCTAAGGCTATGCGGGGAATCTTTGTTTATATGAGGATCTTTGCCTTTGTTCTGCAGGGCTGTGCTGACCGACTGAGGCCCATCCTGCGCCCCCCCCTCATGGAGGCAGCTCGTAACGGGGGCTGCGTAACGCAGTCCCCCCCGCCCCCCCGAACCCCGCATGCCCCCTCGCCCTCCTCCCCCTCCCGCTCCCAGCATGCACCAGGAGGACCCAGCAGCCCTTCCCAGAATGCACAGCAGCAGGGCGACACGCCGGGCCTGCTGCGCGTGTCTCTGCCCAACAAACAGCGCACCGTGGTGAGTGACCCACGCCGGTGACATAGTGGGGTGGTGATGTGATAACATGGTGAGATGGTAAATTGTTGAGGTGCTGAGCTGGTGAGGGGGTGGCCTGGTGAGGTGGTAACGTGGTGAAGTGGTGTCTTGGTGAGATGATAACATGTTGAGGGGGTAACGTGGTGGCGGAGTGGTGGTGGTAGCATAAAGGTTAGCGGACTGCCCTACGAACCCAGTAACCTGAGTCTGATTCCTGCATATCTGAGCCGGTCCTGGGCCTCCCCTGGGTAGACTTAGCCTCAAATGAGTATCTAGTGCGGTGTGTAACATCACCCCTGGGAAGACAAATGCGGCCGGGCGTCGTGATGGTCACACCACGCCCTCGTGTGCCGTGCCAGCCTTTATAGTTGCTCGCTAATAGCACTTGCTCCAGCAGTCTGTTAAAGCTACACGGGGGACTTTTGTGCGTGCGTGTGTGCAGGTGCACGTGCGGGGTGGTTCCTCGGTGAGGGAGAGCCTGAACAAGGCCCTTGCTATCCGCGGCCTCATCCCCGACTACTGCAATGTCTTCACAGTGCGCGACGGGTATGCCGCCGCCCGGTTCCGGTGCATACACGCCGTCCCACCGCAACTGGCACAGCACGCCACTGGAACTGGCATCGCGCGCCGGGTGTGATGTGACGTGGCGTGTGATGCGGGATAATGACGTGGCGTGTGATGCAGTGTGTGACGTGGTGTGTTACGTGGGATGTGACGAGGGTTGTGTGATGTGCGACGCGGGGTGTGACGGGCAGCATGAGGTCGGCTCTCAGCTGGGACGTGGACATGGCGAGCGTTGGCACCGAGGAGCTCCAGGTGGAGCTGAAGGACAACGTCACGGTCACCACCCACAACTTCGTACGCAGCTCACCAATCGCCACCATGCTCACCTCGCATCACTTGCCGCCATTCAACACGAACTGCAAAGCATCACACCAAGCGCAACTTGGTATGCAGCGCAACTTGGTATGCAGCTCACCTCATTTCACCGTCTGCCCTCCCCATCTCCCATACCCCGCCTCTATGTATGCCCCGCCCCCCCATCTCCTACTCCCCGCCCCCCCATCTCCGACGCCCCGCATCCCACCTCCCGCTTCCCGCCCCCCAGGTGCGCAAGACGTTCTTCCGGCTGGCGTTCTGTGACTTCTGCCTGAAGCTCATGTTCCAGGGCTTCCGCTGCCAGACATGCGGCTACAAGTTCCACCAGCGCTGCAGCACCGAGGTGCCCGTCATGTGCATCAACGTGAACCGCCTGCGGTAAGGGCAGCACACACACTCGCACTGCGAACAAGCCACCCCCACACACTCACCGATAATTAGCCACACACCACTAACGAGCCACACACCACTAACGAGCCACACACCACTAACGAGCCGTGCTTATGTGACCCGCCACTAACGAGCCAAAAGTACACGTGCTACGAACCCGACAACCCAAGTTTGATTCCCGCTGTTGACCAACATCGGTGACGAATATCTGAAGCAGTCCTCCATTTCCCTCATGCCTGAGCCTCCGTTAGGCTAAATCGTCCTTAAATGAGTGCCTTGATGCGTTGTGGATACATCTCCACTGGGGAGACAAAGGTGGATGGGCGTGATGGTAGCCAAACCAACCCCTTCTCATGCGCCCTGTTCGCTTTCATAGGTGCTGACAGCACTTGCCCCAGCAGTCTGTTAAAGGCTACACGGGGATCTTTATCGTTGTACAGGCTCACCGAGTGTTACACCCCGAGTCTCGTCCGCCAGGAGGGCCACACCTTCCATTTCGCCACCTTCTCTGGTCCCCCCCACTCTGCTGTGCTGCCCACCACCTCCAGGTATCCACAGGCAGCATCCACACAATGCCCCCCCCCCCGCCCTTCACTTGCCTGCGTGTGTGTGCCTTTGTGTGTGCGTGTGGTTGTACCTGTGTGTGCCTTTGTGTGTGCGTGTGGTTGTACCTGTGTGTGTGTATGTGTGCGTGTGGTTGTATCTGTGTGTGTGTGTGCGTGTGGTTGTACCTGTGTGTGTGTGTGTGCGTGTGGTTGTACCTGTGTGTGTGTGTGTGCGTGTGGTTGTACCTGTGTGCGTGTGGTTGTACGTGTGTGTGTGCGTGTGGTTGTACCTGTGTGTGTGTGTGCGTGTGGTTGTACCTGTGTGTGTGTGTGCGTGTGGTTGTACCTGTGGTGTGTGTGTGCGTGTGGTTGTACCTGTGTGTGTGTGTGCGTGTGGTTGTACCTGTGTGTGTGTGTGTGTGTGCGTGTGGTTGTACCTGTGTGTGTGTGTGGCGTGTGGTTGTACCTGTGTGTGTGTGTGTGCGCGTGTGGTTGTACCTGTGTGTGTGTGTGTGCGTGTGGTTGTACCTGTGTGTGTGTGTGTGCGTGTGGTTGTACCTGTGTGTGTGTGTGTGCGTGCGGCTGTACCTGTGTGTGTGTGTGCGTGCGGCTGTACCTGTGTGTGTGTGTGTGCGTGCGGCTGTACCTGTGTGTGTGTGTGCGTGTGGTTGTACCTGTGTGTGTGTGCGTGTGATTGTACCTGTGTGTGTGTGTGCGTGTGGCTGTACCTGTGTGTGTGTGTGCGTGTGGCTGTACCTGTGGTGTGTGTGTGCGTGTGGTTGTACCTGTGTGTGTGTGTGTGCGTGTGGTGTGTACCTGTGTGTGTGTGTGTGTGTGCGTGTGGATTGTACCTGTGTGTGTGTGTGTGTATGCGTGGGTTGTACCTGTGTGTGTTGTGTTGGCGTGTGGTTGTACCTGTGTGTGTGTGTGTGCGTGTGGTTGTTACCTGTGTGTTGTGTGTGCGTGTGGTTGTACATGTTGTTGTGGTCGTTGTTGTACCTGTGTGTGGGTGTGCGTGTGGTTGTACCTGTGTGTGTGTGTGGTTGTACCTGTGTGTGTTGTGTGTGCGTGTGGTTGTACCTGTGTGTGTGTGTGTGCCGTGTGGTTGTACCTGTGTGCGTGTGGTTGTACCTGTGTGTGTGGTGTGCGTGGGGTTGTTACCTGTGGTGTGTGGGTGCGTGGTTGTACCTGTGTGTTGTGGGTGCGTGTGGTATTGTACCTGTTGTGGTGTGTGTGCGTGTGGTTGTACCTGTGTGTGTGGTGTTGCGTGTGGTTGTACCTGTGTGGTGTGTGTGTGCGTGTGTTGTACCTGGTGTGTGTGTGTGTGGCTGTGTGTGTGTGTGCGCGTGTGTGTTGTACCTGTGTGTGTGTGTGTTGCGGTGTGGTTGTACCTGTTGTGTGTGTGTGTGTGCGTGTGGTTGTACCTGTGTGTGTGTGTGTGCCGTGTGGTGTTACCTGTGTGTGTGTGTGCGTGCGGCTTACCTGTGTGTGTGTAGTGGTGCGGCTGTACCTGTTGTGTGTGTGTGTGTGCGTGCGGCTGTACCTGTGTGTGTGTGTGCGTGTGGCTGTACCTGTGTGGTTGTGGATGCTGGTTGTACCTGTGTGTGTGTGTGTGCGTGTGGATTGTACCGTGTGTCGTGTGTGCGTGTGGCGGTACTGTGTGTGTGTGTGCGTGTGGACTGTAACTGTGTTGTGTGTGTGCGTGTGGTTTGTACTCGTGTGTGTGTGTGTGCGTGTGGTTGTACCTGTGGGTGTGTGGTGTGCGTGTGGTGTACCTGTGTGTGTGTGGTGTGTGCGTGTGGTGTACCTGTGTGTGTGTGTGTGCGTGTTGGTTGTACCTGTGTGTGTGTGTGTGCGTTGTGGTTTGTACCTGTGTGTGTGTGTGCGTGTGGTTGTACCTGTGTGGTGTGTGTGCGTGTGGTTGTACCTGTGTGTGTGTGTGCGTGTGGTTGTACCTGTGTGTGTGTGTGCGTGTGGTTGTACCTGTGTGTGTGTGTGTGCGGTGTGGTTGTACCTGTGTGTGTGTGTGTGCGTGTGGTTGTACCTTGTGTGTGTGTGTGCGTGTGGTTGTACCTGTGTGTGTGTGTGTGCGTGTTGGTTGTACCTGTGTGTGTGTGTGTGCGTGTGGTTGTACCTGTGTGTGTGTGTGTGCGTGTGGTTGTACCTGTGTGTGTGTGTGCGTGCGTGTGGTTGTACCTGTGTGTGTGTGTGGTGCGTGTGGTTGTACCTGTGTGTGTGTGTGCGTGTGGTTGTACCTGTGTGTGTGTGTGCGTGTGGTTGTACCTGGTGTGTGTGTGTGCGTGTGGTTGTACCTGTGTGTGTGTGTGTGCGTGTGGTTGTACCTGTGTGTGTGTGTGTGCGTGTGGTTGTACCTGTGTGTGTGTGTGTGCGTGTGGTTGTACCTGTGTGTGTGTGTGTGCGTGTGGTTGTACCTGTGTGTGTGTGTGTGCGTGTGGTTGTACCTGTGTGTGTGTGTGTGCGTGTGGTTGTACCTGTGTGTGTGTGTGTGCGTGTGGTTGTACCTGTGTGTGGTGTGTGTGCGTGTGGTTGTACCTGTGTGTGTGTGTGTGTGCGTGTGGTTGTACCTGTGTGTGTGTGTGTGCGTGTGGTTGTACCTGTGTGTGTGTGTGTGCGTGTGGTTGTACCTGTGTGTGTGTGTGTGCGTGTGGTTGTACCTGTGTGTGTGTGTGTGCGTGTGGTTGTACCTGTGTGTGTGTGTGTGTGCGTGTGGTTGTACCTGTGTGTGTGTGTGTGTGCGTGTGGTTGTACCTGTGTGTGTGTGTGGGTGTGGTTGTACCTGTGTGTGTGTGTGCGTGTGGTTGTAAGGCGCTGTAAGGATGGCTGGTGGTCGTGGGTTGCTGAGGAGATGGAGTCTGCCTCAGTGGCCCGTGATCACAAATCACTATTTAACTCCATCAAAAAAGTAACCTGCAGCGCCACACATATTACCATCATTAGAGGAAAAAACGGTGATCCAATCTCCGACCCCCAGGAACAGGTTTGCAGATTTGCTGAGCATTTCTGTGAGGTCCTGGGGGAGGGAAATTCTCTCAGCCAGGAAAACATCATGGCACAAAGTGGTGATAACCCTGCTGAGGCTGCGGTGCCTCAAATATTGGAAGAGGTCACCCCCTGTGAGTGGCTGGCTGAGGTGCCAGCTGTTGAGGAAGTACTGAGGGCGATCCGGAGTCTGAGACCAGGGAAGGCACCGGGCAGAGATGATCTCCCAAGCGAAATGCTGAGGGAGGGTGGCGTTTGTGCACAGACTGCCCTATATGACATCATAACAACAGTCTGGACCACTGGACGGGTTCCGCAGGACTGGAAGGATGCCCTGGTGGTCCCCCTCTTTAAAAAGGGGGACCATACCGACTGTAACAACTACAGGGGCATCTCACTCCTCAGTGTGCCGGGTAAGGTCCTGGCAAGGATTATTCAACATCGCCTTGCTAGGCACGCTGAGGAGAGGCTTGCGGAGCCCCAATGCGGTTTCAGGAAAGGGCGGTCCTGCACAGATGCCATATTTTCTGTCTGTCTGCTACAGCAGAGGTGTAGGGAATTCCAAAAAGACCTACATCTCTGCTTTATTGACCTGGTCAAGGCCTATGATACCATCAGTAGGACTGGGCTCTGGGTTGTTCTTCGTGCTTTCGGAGTCCCTGACCCTCTGCTCACGATCATTAAGGACCTTCATGATGGTGAGCGGGCCCGGGTAAAACTACGTGGCCGGGAGTCGGAGCCTTTCCCTGTACACCTTGGGGTGCGACAGGGATGTCCTCTGGCTCCCACATTATTTAACATCTATTTTGACCGCGTAGTTCGTGAAGCCTTCAATAGCTGTACCGGGGGAATTTCCATTTGGTACAGATATAATGGGAGGCTGATCGATGCCCGGGTGCGATCAAGGGATGGCTCCCTATTGGTCAACCACGTTATGTATGCCGATGATTTGGTAATAGCTGCTCATTCAGAAGAGGAGTTGGAGACGCTGCTGCTGAGACTGGAGCGTGCCACTAAGAGGTGGGGCCTTACCATCAGCCCCACCAAAACTAAGCACCTGCCTGGGTATTTTGTACCATCGGACACTCCACCCCCACAACTCCCAATTGGTGATGGGGCAGTTGTGGAGAGAGTGGAGAGTTTCCCATGCCTGGGCAGTGTGCTTATGACCGGCTCCAGTTTATCAGCAGAGGTCTCACTCCGAATCAGTCGAGCGGCAATATCTTTTCATCGGTTGCGTAACGCTGTGTGGAAGCTACCTGGTCTGTCGCTCCGCACGAAGCTTCAGGTCTTCTCGGCCACGGTCATTCCCTCCCTTCTCTACGCTTGCGGAACGTGGACCCCCCTAGTGGAGCATCTTCGCCGGTTGGAAACATTTAGGCTGGCCTGCCTACGATCCATCCTGGGTTTAACCAGGCTGGATTGTGTGAGGAGCTCACAAGTCCTTGAAAGATCTGGGCAAAGTCCCATCAGTGAGCTCCTCCGGCAGGCAAGGCTGCGTTGGCTGGGTCATGTAGCCCGCATGCCCAGCCACCGCATGCCTAAATAGCTTTTGTTCGGCCGGATCGAGGGGGCTAAACGGGCGCGGCACGGGCTAGAGAAGAGATGGAGTGATGTGGTACAGGAGGACATGGAGCTGAGTGGACTTGCCGATGACTGGTACCAGCGGTGTCAAGATCGGCCTCAGTGGAGGAGGCTCGTGAAGAACGCTACTGGGCAGTTGGAGGCAGTCGCCCTCCAACAACAACGGAGGGCGGAGGAGCGACGCTCACAACAACGAGCGGAGCGCCGGGTGGCTAAAGCACAGCAAGTTGGTACAGTAGGGGGCACAGGTCGTGCATCAGCCACTCATCTCGGCCATCTCAGTCGACCCGTGGCACCTGAGTCTGCCCCGTGACCTCCTGCCAGCGGGCGTTCGACACTTCACGTGGCCTCAAGGTGCACATGGCCTGGCACAAGCGTCGTGGTGACGTCACCGCCACTTAGTGGCGAATGGCGGTTGTTGTTGTTGTGTGGTTGTACCTGTGTGTGTGTGCGTGTGGTTGTACCTGTGTGTGTGTGCGTGTGGTTGTACCTGTGTGTGTGTGTGTGTGCGTGTGGTTGTACCTGTGTGTGTGTGTGCGTGTGGTTGTACCTGTGTGTGTGTGTGTGCGTGTGGTTGTACCTGTGTGTGTGCGTGTGGTTGTACCTGTGTGTGTGTGTGCGTGTGGTTGTACCTGTGTGTGTGTGTGCGTGTGGTTGTACCTGTGTGTGTGTGTGCGTGTGGTTGTACCTGTGTGTGTGTGTGCGTGTGGTTGTACCTGTGTGTGTGTGCGTGTGGTTGTACCTGTGTGTGTGTGCGTGTGGTTGTACCTGTGTGTGTGTGTGTGCGTGTGGTTGTACCTGTGTGTGTGTGTGTGTGCGTGTGGTTGTACCTGTGTGTGTGTGTGTGTGCGTGTGGTTGTACCTGTGTGTGTGCGTGTGGTTGTACCTGTGTGTGTGCGTGTGGTTGTACCTGTGTGTGTGTGTGGTTGTACCTGTGTGTGTGTGCGTGTGGTTGTACCTGTGTGTGTGTGTGTGTGTGTGCGTGTGGTTGTACCTGTGTGTGGTGTGTGCGTGTGGTTGTACCTGTGTGTGTGCGTGTGCGTGTGGTTGTACCTGTGTGTGTGTGCGTGTACGTGTGGTTGTACCTGTGTGTGTGCGTGTACGTGTGGTTGTACCTGTGTGTGTGTGCGTGTGCGTGTGGTTGTACCTGTGTGTGTGTGCGTGTGGTTGTACCTGTGTGTTGTGTGTGGTTTTACCTGTGTGTGTGTGTGGTTTACCTGTGTGTGTGTGTGCGTGTGGTTGTACCTGTGTGTGTGTGGTTTTACCTGTGTGTGTGTGCGTGTGGTTTTACCTGTGTGTGTGTGTGCGTGTGGTTGTACCTGTGTGTGTGTGCGTGTGGATGTACCTGTGTGTGTGTGTGCGTGTGGTTGTACCTGTGTGTGTGTGTGCGTGTGGTTGTACCTGTGTGTGTGTGTGTGTGCGTGTGGTTGTACCTGTGTGTGTGTGTGTGCGTGTGGTTGTACCTGTGTGTGTGTGTGTGTGCGTGTGGTTGTACCTGTGTGTGTGTGTGTGTGCGTGTGGTTGTACCTGTGTGTGTGTGTGTGTGCGTGTGGTTGTACCTGTGTGTGTGTGCGTGTGGTTGTACCTGTGTGTGTGTGCGTGAGGGGACCTCCTACCAGCGAGCCTTCAATACTTCACCTTTGCCTCAAAGTGCACCTAGCCTGAAACAAGCGCTGTGGTGACGTCACCCTCCTCTCCTTCCCAACAACCTGTGTAGACTAGATGGGAGATCTTTGTCTGTGTGTGCACGTGTGCTTCGCCAGGCGTTTATCCACGCAAACCTTCCAGTTCCCATCCATCGGAGGCGATCACGGAGGTCAGCTGACCCAGCGAGATCGAGCGAGTTCCACCCCCAACATCAACTCGAGCGTCATAGGCAACGTGGATGTGGGCTTCATAGAGGTGCTGGCCCACCCACCCACATCATCACCGACTCCTCCTCTGGCCCACCCGTTTATCCATTCACCCGCTATTCCGCTCCCCGACCTACCCAAACAGTCACCCCCTCCTCCTCTTACCCACCCTCCCTCCCACTCACCCACAACTCGCGTCTCCTGTGGCCCACCCGCTCAACCACCCGCTCGTTGATCCACCCACCGACCCACACGCTTACCCACCTTCATATTCTCCCACACGCTCACCCATCCACTCACACACCATCTGCGTGTTCCCTGTTCTCCCTAGTCCTTCGTGCAAACCCAGCAGCAGCAGCAGCAACAACCCTCTGCTGACGTGGGTGAGTCCAACACTCACAACAACCACCCTCCCCAACGTTTCAGCAGTGTGATGCGACCCGTCTGCCGATCTCCTCCCATCACCATTTTGCATGCCTCACCTTGCACTCCCCCCCCACCTTCTCCACACATCTCTCATCTCACGTGTTGGCGCGGCTCCAGTGTCGAGTGTGGAAGTGGTGGAGGACACTACCGAAACCAGGGCCGGGACATCCAGTCGACTGCACCGCTCACCCGCCATCCGCCGGCCCTCGGACGAGAAGAACCGCCTGGTACACGCGTGTGGCGGCACGTACACGCGTGGCACCACACACACGCGGTGCGGTGCGTGTGACGGCACGCACAGCTGCGTACACGTGCACGAGTGATAGCACGCAGGTATTCCTTATGCCTTCTCATGTGTTCCTCTTACTCCTTGTGCCCCCTACCCGTGTGCCCCGGTGTGTGTCATTGTCTCCCCGCGTGTCTCCCCGCGTGTCTCCCCGCGTGTCTCCCCGCGTGTCTCCCCGCGTGTCTCCCTGCGTGTCTCCCCGCGTGTCTCCCCGCGTGTCTCCCCGCGTGTCTCCCCGCGTGTCTCCCCGCGTGTCTGCCCCCACGTCCACGCGCTCTCTAGTTCCGTGGCCGGGACTCGTGCTACTACTGGGAGATTCGGGAGGAGGAGATCTCCCTCCTGAACATGGTCGGTTCGGGCTCCTTCGGGACCGTGTACAAGGGCAAGTGGCACGGTGAGGTGGGGGAAGGGGTGGTGGGGGAATTTGAGAGGGAGTGGAGGGGAGAGAGGGATGGGGGTTAAAGGGTGGGAAGTGAGAGAGGAGAGGGAGGGAGGCAAGTCGAGTGGATGGAATTATTGTTCAGTTAGATTACACATATGGCAGCAATCATCGCCTCCTACTCGCAGACTCCTGCCCACTTACAGGCCAAGTGTTGAGTGACCTTGTGCCACATAGGAACAGTTGCTGTGAGAGGTGCCCTTTCAAATGTGTTGAGATGAGATGCGATGCAAGTCGTTCTTCGCGTGTAAAGTACTCCTGACGTGAAGGAGGAGGCTACAGAGGTGGAGAGAGGTGGAATGAGCGGAGAGAGCGAGAGAGAGTTGTCGGAAGAGCCGGAGGCTGTGTTCTGTGGAGCGGTGATGTTGGGTGAATGTTCCCTCTGGTGGCGGTGCTGGTTGTTGTATCGGGTGACTTGCGGCACATCGTGCCTTGAGTGGCGGTGGGGTTTGGTGGCTGGTGTGTGCCGGCGGAGTGCAGCAGCAGCTGCTCACAAATCCACGACTAGCATCGGGAGCCTGAATCATAGTAATAAGTGGCATCGCGGCGCGAGCCAATCAATGGGTTACCTGCCTAGCAATAGCCGTGCCCGTGGCGTGGTGCAGTGTTTGTGCATGTTGTGATACTGCCATGTGGGCCCTCTGTCATGGACGTGTCCTGTCAGTGTCACCGGAGCGCAGTGGGTTGTGCTGCGTTTGTGCCGTGCAGAAGACGTGTATGCAAAGGTCCTGAAAGTGATTGTATGTGTGTGTGTGTGACATGGCATCATGGCTGTGTGTTATAGTCCCCCTGCGTTATTGGTTGCACGTTGTGACGCGATTGTGCCGCGGTTGTGTTGCGCAGGAGACGTGGCTGTGAAGATCCTGAAAGTGACCGATCCCACTCCGCAGCAGCTGCAGGCCTTCAAGAACGAGGTGGCTGTGCTCAGGTAGGAGACGGAGCGAGAGAGAGAGGGGGAGAGACATCAGGACCTGAGAATGTAGCCTCATGGTGCACCTCGTCTGGTGATGATGTCACTGCCAATTAGTGGTGAATGGCGGCTGTTATTGTTGAGTGTGTGAGTGAGTGTGTTGGTGTGGCCTACAGTGTGGAGAGGGTGAGTCGTTGTTGTGATCTGCAGTCTGGTGGTTGAACACAGTGTGATGGATGAGACGAAACAGTCGGTGCCTGGTCCCGACCGAATACTCAACACGGGTGGAGTGAATCAGTGAGTGACCTTCATGGGCATGGTAACCACGATAATAGTAGCGACAGCAGCGTGACAAGGAGGCGACTGACTGCCGGTGAGCGAGCAGGTGGCTGAATTGAATCTGTGAGCATGCCGGATCATCAGTTAATGTGATAGCTCTACTCAAAACCACGTCGAGGCCTGCTGCTCCATCACGCACCTCGTGCGCCTCCGCCCTTCCCCGCCGCCGCTCTCCCCTGCCTCTCCCTCACGGCCCCTTTCCCCCTCCGCCCCCGCACCCCGCAGGAAGACGCGGCACGTGAACGTGGTGCTGTTCATGGGATATCTGACGAAGCCCCGCCTCGCCATCGTCACGCAGTGGTGCGAGGGCTCCAGCCTCTACCGCCACCTGCACGTCAACGAGAGCAAGTTCGAGGTGTTCCAGCTCATCGACATCGCCCGCCAGACGGCGCAAGGCATGGAGTGAGTGCGACGCCGTCGCCGCCACCGTCAGTTTGGCGGCGGGGGTTGGCAACATCACCCCTTACTGTGAACACTTGGCAAGACCCTCCTGATAAACTATAAACTAAACTATTTTTTATTTTACCAGGTAAGACCCAGAGAGTCTTGAGGCTCAGCGTGGCTTTCCTGGGTAAACGAGATAAATAATTTGCACCACCATCACCACCGTTGGTATAATTCTTGAGAATAGGTTTTCCCCATTTTTATGGCAACAAAACAGGTGTTAAGATGTTAAAACACCAAACTGAAACCTTTTTACAAGGAATCATGTCTGCATTAACCACAATACTTGTGGTCAGAATGAAAACAAAAAACATACTCTGATAGTATTTGCATTGTCTTTGAAACTGATTGGTCCACACCAGAGACAGCTTTCTTTCGAGCCTAGTCTCAAACGGTGTGAGAACAAAGACAATGCATATACTATCAGAGTGTTTTTGTTTTTATTGTGACCACAAGTATTGTGGTTAATGCACACATGATTCCTGGTGTTTTAACATCTTAACACCTGTTTTGTTGCCAGAATAAAGGGGAAAATCTATTTTCATATTTTGGTACTGGAAAAGGAGGTCCCATAGTATAATTCTTGTTTTATTTTTTCAGTTACCTCCACGCGAAAAACATCATCCACCGTGACCTCAAATCCAACAGTATCCTCACTGCCAGCTGGCGCTGCCGGGGCGGGCTTTGCAAGGTATGTTGCGTACGTTTGGGTATGTGTGCGCGTTTGTGTCTGTGTACCATTGGGTATGTGCGTGCACGTGTCTGTCCGTGTACCATATTGGGTATGTGCACACACTTGTCTGTCCGTGTACCATATTGGGTATGTGCGCCCGTGTGTTCGTCTCTTTACGATTGGCACTACGCGACAAACCCGGCGACCAACATCGGTGACGATTATCTCAACCAGTCATGGGCCTCCCCTAGGTCGACTCGGCCTTAAAAGGCATACTTTGTGCAGTCTGTAAACATTAGGATTGGGGATAACATGGCGGCCAGACGTGGTGCTGGCCACACGGCCCGCTTGTGTCGCGTGTCGTGCCGCCCTTCATAGGTGTTCACCGACAGCACTTGTCCCAAAAGTTTGTTGAGGCTATACGGGGGTCTTTGTCTTTGTACAGGTGTCCACGTGTGCGGTGTGCCAGGGTGGTCGTGTGCTAGTTTTCCCGTTTGCCGTGGTGACGTCACAGCGAAAGTCGGTTGTTGCTGTAAACATGAATATTGCACACACGTGGAAAGTGTGTGCCCATACTCACCCTAGTAGCTAGCTACCCCCCCCCCATAATAAGCTGCCCTCTAATGAACCGCCCCTTGAACGAGACCCTTCTGAGGCCGTCCCCCTTAACGAGCCGGCACAGACATCTTCCTGCACGAGGGCCTCACGGTGAAGATCGGCGACTTTGGGCTCGCCACCGTCAAGTCGCGCTGGAGCGGAGCTCAGCAAGTCGAGAACCTGTCCGGCTCCATCCTGTGGATGGTGAGCGCGTGGTGTGTGTGGGGGGGTGTGCTCTGTGTGTACCAGGCTGTGGTGGTGTGATGAGTGTGGTGCGTGGCACAGGTGTTGCATCTCCCGGTCATTTGTCATTTCTACAGTGGTAACTCTGGATACGTCGTTAATTCGTACCAGAAGTGGTAGGACTTCTACCGAAAATGACGAATACCAAGCGAATTTTTCCCATAAGATATAAAGGATCTTTGTTTTGATATAAATTTCACCCCCTTTGCAACGTTAGCTGATTTGATGTCTTATTTTTTTTTCACAATCGCCGAAATTGTTCTTGGCATACGGTATGCCACCGCAAGATCAGTGACGCGCATGCCGCTTTCATACTTTTCTATTATCTCTTTTTTCTACGTCAATAGTGATCCTAACCATTTTCTTTGTAGCTTGGCTTTTCTCACTAACCTTCTTAGGGCCCATCTTAAATGAATTGGCAAAAAATTCACGTTAAAATGACAAAAAAACACGTGAAAATTCACAGTTATAGCAATGGTTGTGCACTGAATGAGATCTACAGGCAGACTGAGGAGCGGCGCTTTGTTTCAGTCGTGAACGGGGTGTACGTGGGTACGCGGTGACTCATCCCGACCCATACAAGTTCTAGCAAACGCGTCGTATCCCAAGATGTTTTTTTCTCGTCAAAACACGACATATACCAAATTCGACATTCCAAAGCGGTCGTCTACCGAGGTATGACTGTACTGGGATCTTTCCTGTCGGCCCCACCCTCTGTCCTGTAGCCCCACCCCCGTCATGTAGCCCCACCCCCTGTCCTGTAGCCCCACCCCCTGTCCTGTAGACCCACCCCCTGTCCTGTAGCCCCACCCCCGTCATGTAGCCCCACCCCCCCTTGGCAGTGTGTGTGATGTATAACGCGTGCCGTGTGTATGTTGTGCGCCCATGTGTGGAGGCCCCAGAGGTGGTCCGCATGCAGGACACGAACCCGTACACGTTCAAGTCGGACGTCTACGCATTCGGCATCGTGCTCTACGAGCTCCTGGCCAAGGAGCTGCCCTACGCGCACATCGGCTCCCGAGACCAGGTCACACGCACACACGCACATACCCACACATCTGTTCCAGAGACCAGGTTCACCACACACCTGCACACCCACACATGAACACAAAGACAAAGATCCCCTGTATAGCCTTAGCAGACTGTAGGGGCAAGTGCTGTTAGCGAGCACCTATAAAGGCCGGCGCGGCACACGAGGGGGTTGGTGGCCAGCACCACGCCCGACCGCCTTTGTCTCCCAGTGGCGATGTTTACACATTGCAGCAGGTACTAATCTGAGTCGACCTGGGGGAGCCCCAGGACCGATTCAGATAATCGTCCCTGGTGTTGGCCGTGAGAGGGAATCGAACTCGTCGGGGTCATAGCGCAGCTCGCTAACCGCCACACTGCCGTTCCTCACGCAGGCACACGGACACATCTGCCACACGCGCGCAGACACACGCGAACAAGCATCACCCCGCCCGCTGCCCTGTCCTCCGCCCCACCCCCCACAGATCCTGTTCATGGTGGGGCGGGGTTACCTGTCTCCGGACCTGAGCAAGGTTTGTGGGAACTGCCCCAAGGCCATGAGGAGGCTCATGGCCGACTGCCTCAAGAAGCTGCGCGACGAGCGGCCCCTCTTCACACAGGTGAGGACACTCACACCCACGCACACACGCACACACGCACGCACACACACACACACTTGCACGCACGCACACACACACACACGCTCACGCACACACGCTCACGCACACACGCACACGCTCACGCACACGCCCACACTCACACACACGCTCACGCACTCACACGCACACATGCTCACACACTCACACGCACACACGCTCACGCACACACGCTCACGCACACACACTCGCACGCACACACACTCGCACGCACACACGCACACACACACACGCACACACTCACGCGCACACACACACACTCGCGCGCACGCACACTTGCACTCGCACGCACGCACACGCGTGCACGCACGCACACACGCGCACGCACAGGTACAACAACCACGCACGCACACACACACACACGCGTGCACGCACAAAGACACAGAACCCCTCCTGTAGCCTTGACAGACTGTTTGGGGCAAGCGGTGTTAGCTAGCACCTTTGAAGGTCAGCATGGCGCACGAAGGGCAGGGTGGCCACCACCACGCCCGACTGCCTTTGCCTCCCCATTGCTGATGTTTACACGCCGCACCAAGTACTCCTCTGACGCCGAGTCGAGGCCCAGGACCGGTTCAGATAATCTTCACCGTTGCAGGTATCGAACTCGCGGGTTCGTAGCGCAGCCTGCTTACTACCGCTCCCCACGCATGCACGCGCTCGCCCAAGTGTGCGCACACACACGTACACAGGCGCGCCCGCTCACTCGCGGGTTCCGTCGAGTTCCACGTGCGCCGCTTTTTCCCCTTGCCCCAAATTGTCCGACGCCATTGTGGTCGCCGACGCCGCCGCTTCCGTGGCGATTCCCTTTTTCCGACGCCGCCGGCGCCGCAGGTCCTGGCGTCGATCGAGCTGCTGGCGCACGCACTGCCCAAGATCCACCGCAGCGCCTCGGAGCCGTCGCTGCAACCGCTCCGGCCTCGACCTCGACGACCTGCGCTCCATGTTCATGCAGCCCACGCGCTTCGGCGCCAAGTGATTGCGCCCCCTCCTGCCCCCCCCCCCCCCCAACTGCGACCGGCGAGGGGCGGGCGCTCCACTCTCCGGCTCCATCGCACTGGAAAGGAAATGGGATGGTCCTACTACCCCCCCCCCCCCAACTGCACACATCGGCAAGTTATGGGCATCCCTTGGCGCACACCGTGGGGGGGGTGGGGTGGGGGATGGTGTCCGCTGTGAACCACACTCGCCAGACAGGGGTGGTGCCTCCCCTCCTCTCTCACGAGCCGGAAGATGGCGGCGTTCTGATGGTGCCCGCCTCTACCGCACGCCGGCGAGTGATGCTGCTGCGCCAGCGCCACCCCAACGTGTGGGAGCGGTGGCTTGGACGGCACTCGCCCTACGAGAGGAGATGGACGCCATCGCCGCCAGACACGGCAGGGCACTCGTGTGCTGCAAACCGCACGGGGTTGTGCACGTGTGCGAGCGTCTTGAGTGTGTGCGTGTGTGTGAGAGTTGGTACAATAAGTAGATGCGGTACGACAGAACGTTTTGCTGATTGGACTTGCCGGTGACGTGCCAGCGGTGTCGAGATCGGCCTCTGTGCAGGAGGAGGCTCGTGAAGGACGCTACTGGGCAGTTGGAGGTGGTCGCCCCCTCGACAACAAGTTGGCACAATCGGGAGCACAGGTGGTGCATCTTCCAGTCATCTCGGTCAACCTATAATACCTGGGTCTGTCTCGTGACCTCCTGCCAGCAGCAAGCCTTCTCCACGTCACGTGATGGCTTCAAAAGTGCACTTAGCCTGGCACAAGAGCATGAGGGTGGTGAGCCTGTGGGTATGCTTGTGAAGGCGTGCGAGTCTGAGTGAGCATGTGGGCGAGCGTGTAAAGCGTGTGGTCGTGTGAGTGAGTGCACGCCCGTGTACGCACATGATCGCGATGGTGATCGCATGGGTCGCCGCGAGGAGTTGCTGCTTCCATGAACCTATCGCAAACCAATCGGTGAGCTCGCAGGTTCTTCGACAAAAACACGTTTCAGGTCGTGTCCTGATGAAGGCCAGTCAGCCAAACCATCGGTGTCGACCGTTCCTCGTGGGGACTAACAGAAAAAAACCCCATCCATTATGGCGTTGAATCGATCTGTTATTTCATTAACGCGTGCGTGTGTGTCTGCGTGTGAGCATGTGCCTCAATAGGTGCTCGCCAACAGCAATTGCCCCATCGGGTGTATAAGGCTGTGTGTGCCTGTGTGCGTGTGTGTGCGCTGTCATCTTGGTGGTGGTTTTACCTTTTGGGTAACGTTTCTCCAGCCTGGTCAGTTTACTTATGCTGCCCTGGGGTCTTACAACACTGAAGCCTTAACCCACCCACCCGTAGCCCCCCCGCCCGCCCGCCTTCCCTGTCTGCCTCCACGAGCGGGCTGGTGGGCGTGGTGGTGGCCACGATGTGCCTTATTCTCGGGTGAGGCTGCCGTTGTGCCTCTGTGAAACCGGCGGCGAGGCCTTGACCGTGGTGCCGGCACGGTTGCGTTAACGCGAATCTACGGGGGGAAACAATCACTAAACACGAAGGGAAAACCCTGGCTCCATATGCCTCCTGCTGCTATTCCTGGCGATGCCGTCTGTACGGCCACGGGGCGGACTCCTGGGGTCCAATCCCCGCCAGCGACCGCGTCGCTCGTGACGGTGAACTACGAGGAGCGGCGCGCGGCTGCGATCATAGTTGTGGCGAGTCGTTTGGGTAGACGGGAGCCGCCGTGGTTGTCACGGTTATCGCTCCGCAGCTTGCAATCCAGAGGTCGCCGCTTCCAATTCGGCTTTGTGGCACGGCGAACAAATCTGAGTGAACAGTGTTACTACGATTCTGGGTCTAACAACTGTAATGAGAACAACTCATTGTAGCGCTGAAAACTGGACACAGCCGACAGTGGCTCCTGCTGCTCCAATCTACTCCATGCTGCTCTCTGCTGCCAGTTCCTCCAGGCTAAGTCCATGCTGCTGCTCCATGCTGCTGCTGCTCCATGCTGCTGCTGCTCCATGCTGCTGCTGCTCCATGCTGCTGCTGCTCCATGCTGCTGCTGCTCCATGCTGCTGCTGCTCCATGCTGCTGCTGCTCCATGCTGCTGCTGCTCCATGCTGCTGCTGCTCCATGCTGCTGCTGCTCCATGCTGCTGCTGCTCCATGCTGCTGCTGCTCCATGCTGCTGCTGCTCCATGCTGCTGCTGCTCCATGCTGCTGCTGCTCCATGCTGCTCCATGCTGCTGCTGCTCCATGCTGCTCCATGCTGCTGCTGCTCCATGCTGCTCCATGCTGCTGCTGCTCCATGCTGCTCCATGCTGCTGCTGCTCCTCCATGCTGCTGCTGCTCCATGCTGCTGCTGCTCCATGCTGCTCCATGCTGCTGCTGCTCCTCCATGCTGCTGCTGCTCCATGCTGCTCCATGCTGCTCCATGCTGCTGCTGCTCCATGCTACTCCATACTGCTGCTACTCCATGCTATTCCATTCTGCTCTCTGCTGCCAGTTCCTCCATGCTAGTCCATGCTATTCCATGCTGCTGCCCCATGCTGCTCCACGCTTGTCCATGCTGCTCCATGTGGCTGCTGCTGCTCCCTGATGCTCTTGCTCGCCCATGCCCTGCCGGGTCACGTCTTCCTTTTTCTTACCACATGGCAGCGCGGGCGCCCACGTGACGCCCCGTTGTGCGTCCTCACTGTGAATGGGCACCGGTGGCGACCGGGCGGCACAGCCCTGCCTCGGAGGCCTTATGGAATAGATTAAACATATCATTGTACCCAGCGCGGTGTCCCTCGCAAGGCGCCCTCTCTGTGTCCTGGTGCTCGTTGGAGCCTGTGGTCTGCAAGGCCCTGTGGTGTACTGGGCTGTATCCTGGCCTACAGGGCCAGCTACATTGCCCTGTGGTCTATGGGGCCCTGGTCATTACCCCTTGGTCTACAGGACCATGTCCACTGCCCTGTGGTCTGTTGTTGCATGCTTGCGATAGGTCCTGTGGGCCACGTGGTTGTGGTGGCTGCTCTACCGGATGGTTTTGCATGGCAGAGTGGCGTTTTGCATTTGAGATTCTGTGACTGTGATGTGGAGTTTTTATTTTTTAACACATCGGGTGCCATGCTCATTTTCATTCGGAAAAAAAGCGATGGATAATTAAGTGCGTTTTTATTTCATACTTTTCAACGAAAAGATGTTCGAAAGCAAACGAGGTTCACGAACTGGAAGGTGGTCTGTGTAAACTTTGTACATAGTGGCATGGTGTCTGCATGCGAGTTGTGGTGGTGATTATCCTTTTATTGGCGTCGCTGCTGCTGTGTTTCTGAAGCGCCTGCGTTTTACCATGAAGCGGCCGCCGTGTTCGCGGTGAAATCTTCGTTTATAGTATTCGTGGTGTGATCCTAACAGTTCCATGTATAGGGTTGGTTTAATAAAAGGGGCTTCTGTGGAGTGTCTTGCCATGGCTTGTGAGACCGGCGGCGGTGGGGTCGGGTGCTTGCCGGCGTCTCAACCCTCGGCCGTGGCAGCTCCTGTGGCGGTCACCGGCCCGACGCAGCAACGTCGACCAGTAGGCAAAGTCCGTTCCATCGGAGGCCTTCTTCCAGCCGTGGATTACTTGACACAGGGCTGCTGTGCTCTTAATTCGACTACTACAGATCAGGAAGACGCAAAGAAGGACGTGTCGAGAGGATGTGAAAACATCATGGAGCGGAGCCAAAGGGATTACTGCCAACGCCGTCAACCCCTCAACTCGCGCGCCGGCACAGACCAAGCGGCGGTCGTGGTGGAACGTCTGCCAGTCGCCTCTCCTGCCACACGTCACCCGGCACACCACATTCAGTACCACTCCGACTACAGTAGGTGGCTACGACCTGGTGCCCACCGGCAACCCGGAGAGACAAAGGCCTCTGCCCACCAGCAGTAGGTGCCACTGGGGCACAGGGCGGCGGCGTGCGTGTTAACACACGTGTGTGTTAACACACGTGCGTGTTAACACGTGCGTGTGTGCGCAAGCTCGGTTCCCATCGTGTCGGACTTTGTTGACTTACGCTCGCTTACTCAGGAGAGCCTTGCCGAGTCTCGACGCTCTTTCAGCAGGGTCCTGCCAAGTGTTTGCAGGAGCGCGCAATCTCAATTGGCAGGTAATTTTTCACCATTGTGATGTATGGTCCAATACCAGTTCCACGTTTTTGTTGTGAGCTATGAGAGCAAACCCCGTACAGACCAGGGGGAGATCATACAAACAGCAGTGCCCGAGTCGGGAATCGAACCGAGGACCACCTTGCCCCGTCGTGCCGAGTGCCACTACCGCCCCCACCCTGCCCTCCACGACGTATCCATGAGGACCATCTCGGTACCATGTCGATGGGTATTCCAATACATTTAAATGTCTGTGCACATCAACAAGAATACATTTAAAGTCGGTGAGTATCAGCGAGTATCTTAGTATACAACGGCGAGTATCGCCGAGTATCTCGTTACAAGTTGGTGAGTATCTTGGTACAAGTCGGCGAGTATCAGCGAGTATCTCGGTACAAGTTGGTGAGTATCAGCGAGTATCAGCGAGTATCTCGGTACAAGTCTGAATATCGGCGAGCATCTCAGTACATGTCGGTGAGGATCTCCAGCAGCAGCGGGTGCAGCTTGGCGCCCGCCTGCGTGCGCCGGTAGGTCTCCACGAAGTCCACGTGCTCCGTGACGAGCTCGCGCAAGTCGGCCAGCTTCTGCAGCAGCTTGGGGAAGAGGAAGGGGCAGTGCGGGTGTGCTCGGCGCAACTGCAGCGCCAGCGCCTGCAGCATGCGCATCTGGAGACGCTCCACGGCCGCCACATTCACCAGGCCCGGACGGTCTGCACACAGTGACACATTCACAGTGACGCATTCACACATACAGTGACGCATTCACACAGACAGTGACGCATTCACAGTGACGCATTCACACAGACAGTGACACATTCACAGTGACGCATTCACACATACAGTGACACATTCACAGTGACACACAGTGACGTATTCACACAGACACAGTGACACAGACACAGTGACGCATTCACACAGTGACGCATTCACACAGCCACACAAAACACAGTGACACACAGACACACAGTGACACTGACACATATGACTGACACATTGGCACACGGC